CACCTCCACCTCCACCTCCACCCCTCCACACCTTCATCACTTAGCATGGAAGCAATATCCTTGAGAGGTCATTCGCCTTCTTACTAAATGCGAGTATACTGTAAAGAGATTCATTAGTTATCCACGTTCGGAAAAGACCCTTCTAAGCACTCAATTGGAAAGCTCAGATGGAGATGGAAGTAGAGCCAAAATAACGGTCTAAATCCAATTTTGCTCATTAGAGGGAATCAGAATTACAAGCAAAATTAATTTGCTTTTATTATGTGTCTGTGTCCTGGCCGCAAAAGGACATTAAGCATCAAGTGAGTTGGCGCGAAATTCCCGTCGTAAACAACGCAAAATTTGTTGGAATGCAATTGTTTACACTTGTTAACTCATTGACAACCCTTCCTCAAGATTAGAGTCCCAATAATATCTCCCCCAACCCCATTAGGAAGAAATCAAACGAAATTTTTTTTCATGCAATTAACCTCAGAATGAGTTTCAGGAAGGTATTGACTGCAAGATCGATTCATAATTCTAGACTTCTAGGGTTGTATAACCAAATCATTCAATAAACAGGCAGATGAGCTGTTTTCTGGAAAACGTGGTAGACTTGCCTTTACATGGGCAACGTATACTCATAAGACAAAAGAGTCCACAAACCGGCAGTCGACTTCAAACCACCATCACCCCACCCTATGTCATATTCCACCACTTCCACAGTACACAGCTTTCCTTTCTCTCTCAACCTTTGTGTCGGACTCTCTTGCCACCTATGAATCACTCTTCAGTTACCCCCCCCCCCCCACCGCCAGCACTCGACTTTTTGCGACTTTGGTGCTCCTTCCTTCTGTGAAGTTTGAGGGTCAACTAAAGGGCCAATGATACCCGTCACAAAGCCTGCAATTTGATATTAATAGATTTAAAGTTTTACTAGTCTGGTGCTTATGAATTCTCTGGAATTTTCGTAACCATTGAGTTTCACTTTGACTAACATATTTAAAAGAAATAACCGGCCAAAATTTTCAGGATAAAGACAATGGAATGAGACAATAAGCAGTGGTTAGAATAGCTGAAGTTATTATTCTTGAAAGGTAGATCAAGAGAACTTTTTGGAAGTCACCCTTGACCCCCCCCCCCCAATGATTTGTGTCTGATAGCAGTCTGTTTTGTGTGTTTCGAGAATAATGACGTCAGACGGCAGAAAAATGGCATATCCTTCAACGGTAACCCAATGGGACCATGCTTCTAAAATATCCGCGCACTCCTTCAAATCATGGAAAACGCAGACACCAATCACAAAGCATCCTATAGAATGTCGTTACTTTATTAGGATCAAAATTTACACTTTCTATTCTTTTCTAGTGGAAAAAAGGTATTTAGAAAACAATACATCAATGGGGAAGATGGTATGATGTGTCTGTGCCTCCCATCATATAGAAAATGGTAGAATTCAACAATTATTGAAGATAACCTTGGAGGAAGTTGCGCGCCCTCACTAAAAAATTGTTTACTTCTCTGGCATTTTGTTTTGGTGATTCGGCGCAACCATTCTCCAACAACTTTTTTTAGCAAGATTTGGTATGTTTCCACACACTCCAAGTTCCTCTCAACTCAGAGATCTTGCAAGTCCTTAATTCTAGTGAAAATAGGCGACTAATCTTTCTAATGAACTTACATTGTAATGATCAGCATGATCGGATTGCAAAAAATAGACCAGAAAGTCATAAATTGAACACTTTCAGTTGAAAGATACTCGTATTTTTTTCATTTTTGATGATGAAGACGAAAAAAAGGCATACTTATTCGTGCAGATTAAAGGATTTTACTCTTGACAATAATTGATTAGGTCAATTTCTACCCCTAATCGAAGATGATCATGAATAGCAGATTTAATGCTATTATGGGAGGGGTTGGGGGAGGAAGGGGAGGTGGGGTGAGGGGTGCGAGTCGAAAACGGTAATGATTAACGTAAATAATCAACAAACGCTGTACGCACAAACACACACACACACACATCTGGCAAGGTTATTGCAGAACTCTTCTAGCCTCTTTTCTACCTAAGGAGGAGAATGTGTGATTTTTTTGGAAATTAAATGTGTCATTGTTGCGTGTGTGGGGTGTTTGTCAGGATTAGAGTGGCAAAACGAAGTATTAAAGGCAGAGAAGAAACACAGTTGGAGGGGGGGGGGGTACCCTTCTACGTAGTGTGTGTGTGCTAAAACGCAATCACTCACCAAGGAGAGGCGCAAAGGCCTTTGTATGTATACAAAGAGACACAGAGAGAGAGAAACATAAATATATATATGTGTGGATATATGTCTCGTGATCTTGTGGCACACCTCAACATATATATATATATATATATATATATATATATATATATATATATATATATATATATATAT